TGTTAAGGCCACGTCATCTACGCACACAGCCATGTCTGTCCAGGGAGATCCCAGGAGCATCCGGGTCCGGGCATGTCGTACTGCAGCTGGGCCAATGGCACATTGATAGAAGGGAAGTTGTCCATGTAATAAGTAAGGAAGAAAGAAAAGAGAAAGGAGAAAGAAAGAGAGGAAGAGAAAAGGGAGGAGGAAGTAGGGAAGGAGTGGGTAGCGGGGGACCGGGTCAGGTGGGTGATGGGGGATTGGGTCAGCTGGGGCCGGGTCAGGTGGGTGTGCCCTGACAAGTGGCACCAAAGGTCATAGGTTAGAACCTGTGGTACATCCGAAAGGAGATAGGGAGGGTGAAGCCCAGAGGGGCAGTGTCAGGGCACACACCCTGACTAGCCTGCATCCGGACCCAGACCCACACCCGCATGCGTGCTCTGCCCTGCATGCTCCATGCGCCACATGCTCCAGGCCCGGTTCCCACTTCTCATGTGGTGTCCGGGTATCACCATGGAAGTTTTCGCCATATTGGGCCACTGTGGGAAGTGAGAAGTTAACCTTCTTCTCACTTTCTTACCCACAGTAGAGTTGTGCCCTGGACAGGGCTGTTCACAGGTTAGACTGTGGGCCATAGAGAGGGGTCATGGGGACCCAGGGTCCATCCCCTGACAGGCAGGAGGATGAGGTGAAGTGGGGATGATGACTAACTGGCTAGAATGGAGAGAAGCCACAGCCCAAATAAGGATGAGGGGGAAATGCGAAAGATACATTGCAAGCAGCAAAAGTGCTGAGTATGATCCATGGAGCTTACAGAGGTTGTGGAGGCAGGGTTGAAAGTCCAAGGAATGTTGGCAATGGTGTTTACGTAGTATGAGGTCACCAATGCAATGGACCAAGGTGGAGTCAAAGTCCGAGGTTGGGACTAAGACAGGATCTCGGAGCGAAGGTACAAGCGGTGTCCAAGTACAGGGTATGGGAATGTGGTGGAAGGTCATAACTTGGTGGAGGTTTGGCAGAAGAGGGTTGGAGGGAGGTGAGTGATTGTGAGGTCTCAGTGGGGTAGCTCAGCACACAGAGCCATCAGTGATACAAAGATGTGTATTTTACAGTGTGTGTAAGCAGTTAACGGAAATTACCGCTTACCCACTGACTATATGTATCTTGTAATTACATATGGCTCGGGGTTTGGGGCTATTGCCCTGACATTCTCCCCCCTTGCATTGCATTTGCGACGCATACAAGGTTAATGATGAAGAAAATAAAATGAAAAAAATGAGTTACATTGAGTTTGAGATTATCAATGAGTGTTTTATTGTTGCCACTTTAAAGTGGATGATTTATACATGTTGGTGAGAGGAATTGAGGGAATAAATGGGTGTGGGGCCATCACTTTGAAGTGAACAGCAATACATGGGTATCGCAGAGGGGAAAGTGATGAAGAGAAGGAGTTTTTCGAAAATGAATTTCAACCCAAAGATTATATGTCTTTGGTGTTCCTCCTCACTTGTTCCGTGAGGATTTGTGTGTAAATGGTGTTTACACAAGCAGTGGTGGATGTGGGTTTTGACGAAGTAGAGATTTCCGCAATTGTTACTTGCAGTTCCTCACATACAATATTGTGTGTGGGGCCTCAAGTTGGGGGAAGGTGTTTTCATGGGTGCCTCAATGGCATATTCCAGTGTCACTTTCCCTTTCCTCAAGGGTAGAGTTATTGCCCCAGAGGAGGGTTTTCCTCCAGGTTGTTCATCTGGACATCCGATTGCTGCATTGGATGCGATGATGTGGCCTGGGCTACATTGTCAAGCTGTGGGCTTGACGAAGCGGGCACTCCCTGGGTGGGAGCAGGTTGTTGCGTTCCTGGGCTACTTGGCTCAGGTGTAGAGTACAGTAAGTTTACTGTTCTTCCTGTGGGGAAGGGTGGTCGCTGGCCTGTTTGTCCAGTGCAGAGACTTGCATCTCTTTCCCGGTATTTGGAAGCTTTTGCTTCCCGCTCTGCAGTTCTTGCAGTGCATTCCTCAGGAGTCCTGAGTGGTTTGAACTGGGACTTTATATAGGCAGCTTTGCCTAGACTTTCCCAGGAGATTTTTCCCTTGTTCTCCAGGGAATTGTACTCCTCCACAAGTCTTGCAATACTCGGGAGTCCCAAGAAGTATTTCTCGGTTTCCTTCGCTTTTTCACAAAGGACTCTATGCACCTTGCCGCTTTTAAAGGTGGCTTTGGCCTGTTCGTACCAGTGTATGAATTCTTTCCCACTCACACTTGTCCACCAAGTGTATGCAGCATCATGCACCGCTTCCGACCCTGCTATTCTCCTCATGGGGAAGTTGGGGTCGATTGTTACATCGACTGGAGCTTCGACTTTACTGAACTCATTGAGTTCAGTGGTCTTGTATAACATGTGGACACTTCCCTGCAAGGTAGCTTGCCCATAGGGTGCTGAGGTACTCAGCGGCCTGCTGCCTCTGGCAGTGGTCCCTGTTTTGGGGTCTGCCATTGGTTGCCCACCACTCTCCCTCTTCCCCTCGACATGGGTTGTCCCTTCTGAGGGCAGGCCCTTATGCAACCCAGACAGGGTCGCCTGCCCATGGGGTGGTGGGATAGTCGATGCCCCGGCACCATATCCCCTCCCCCTGACCTGGGAGGCCCCCATCATGATGGGTTTGGCAGCAAGATCTGCCAGTGCACATGCCTCTTTGAGCTCGCATTTTAGTAATTCGATCTCCCTCTTTTGGAGATCGACTTCTCTCTCTGAGTCTTTCAGCGAGGTGAAGATGCCCTCGGCATCTCTTCATGCTCTATTGTCTCGTGCCTCCAATGGACGCAATTATTGCAGGCATCATCTGATGCCCTCAAGTTATCAGACCATGTGCATTTGGATGGCCTGGACGAGGAGCTGCTGTTGCTCCCTCGTCTCCCTCCTTCATCTCTTTCAGCTCCTGATGGAGTTGACCCGTCTGAACAGCTACCACTGATGCGATAGCTGATTCCCAACCTGCATTTGGCTGAGGTGTTGTTGGACCTGGGCTGAATTGGCCGATCCAGGGGGTGATTTGGCCAGGGAAGTTCCCTGGGGAGTATGCCTTGGGCTGCAGCAGCATATGCTGCCCCTGGAATAGCGCTTATTGAGCCATCGGTGCAGTTTGCACTGTGGATGGTTGGAAGCCCCTTTGAGGAGGCTGGGGGTATGTGGTGCCTGTTGGCATTGTGGATGGTTGTTGGTTTGTGGCACTCATTTGTGCTGCATGCATCATGTAGTCCATGGCGCTTATCTGCACCTGGTGTTGTTGTTGTTGTTCCAGGGAGCCTTGCTCCCCAGGTTGTCGTATCTCAATGTCCAGCAGCTTGTTCGGATCAAATCGAGGGTTGCCTCCCCCAGAGAACAACATTTTCGTCGTTTTGTTTCTCGTGGTGGTGGGAGGGGTTTAGGTTCTTGCGTGCATGGGATTCGCCGCAAGTGTGTGTGGTTTTACACATGAGCCTGTGGTTCATATGATCTAGGTAGGTTAGACACTGGTCCGGGGTCGGCACCGAAGGTCGCCGTTGCGGGCCGCTATAGGCCGCGATGGCCATGATGCCACGAACAAGGCCCGAGGGTAGGGCATTTGGCCTCAGCGACTCTAAAGGAGCACTGTGCCCCCTAGCTGTCTCTTGGCCCTCATTTCAGACTTACTGGGGTTGCCTTGCTGGGGTCAGGACTTAAGGGGTCGTGGTCAAATCGATATTAGAGCTAAGGTACTATAATGTAGTATACAGGATATATATATGAAGATAGAATGAATAGAAGCGGACCCGGGCCGAAGGCCGAAGGGTCCGGAAGCAAATAGGAACAAAGAGCGGGGTTGGCCGCACAGTGGCCGGCAATGACCGAGGGTCAAAACAAACAATAACAGATAAATAAAGGAAGGAGCGTAGGGCCGCGATAGCAGCGATGGTATTGTAGCGGCACCGGACTCGGAGTTGGGCCGGAGTCGGGTGCGGGGATGATAGCGGCCCTGTAGGGGCCATGTGGGTGGGGTAGAGGAGTCGTGCTCAGCACGGTGCTGGAGGCCGACTCAGGGCAGGAAGGTTGGTGTGGCTGTGGGGGAGTCGGCCAGGTGCAGGGGAGCCTAGGGGCAAGCGGGGGAGTGAGCAGGGTGTCCTCATGGAGGGTAGGGCTGAGGTTGGGGCTTGCGCTCATGCTCACGTAGCGGGAATGGGCTTGGGCAGCATCAGGATGGGCAGCTAATGGGCCGGAATGCATGGCCATGACACATTCAGCCTTGAAGCGGTCAAGGTCTTCAGTTGCTCCTGAGAAGGGGGTGGGGGGAGCAACTTTAGGTGGTTTTGGTCTGGGGGTGGGTGCGGGTGCAGGTGCAGGTGCAGGCATGGGTGCAAGCACAGGTGGGGGTTGGGTCTGAGCTTGGCTCTCTACGATGGCCTGGAGCTCTTGGAATCAGGACAGCAGTTCGTCATACTGGTCTTCAGTCACCATGGCAGGAGAGGTGCAGGAGGCAGGGGAAATGAGGTTGAAGCCTTCTTCTGCTGTCAGGGACAGCTCTGAAAGCGGCAAAGTCCAGGCATGAGGGACTCGGTGGGACGGATGTCGGCTGTGCATAGCAGCGATCCCATCGTGGGGTGAGCATCCCTGACCACTTAGTCTGAAGTGGGAAGTTGAGAAGAAGGCTGCTTCTTCTGTTCCCACCCCAGGCACTATTATATACATGCGGCTAGGGTCACATGGAGGAAGCCATGTCATCTCCACACACAGCTGCACCTCCCTGGGTGTCTCCGCAGGAGATCCCAGAGGTGGCCACTCAGTAGGTGGGAGTGTGCACGGTGCATGCAGCGATCAGGGGAGCGGGGTTAGGTATGTTACCTTGCTTGCAAGGTCACTTTCCAGCCTGGTATTCCTTAGCGTTTTTCCCACCCTCTTTATATTGTTTGCTTTTTCCCACCACTCACTGCCTCTCGACTCTCGCACATGTGCTTTTCTCCAGCATTATTACTCCTCCTGACCCCCAGATGCAACTGGCCATCTACAGACTCTCAGAGGAATTGGTGATAGAAAGGGATTGGGTGCCCATCACTCCGACACAGCAGGCCATCGACTCCTCAGTCACCAAAAGCTGCCCAGACAAGGGTTCTACCACAAAGGCAGTGTTCCACCACTGCATCCGTGACAAGCAGAACCCCGGCACATTTCTCAAGGACACCACATCCCCACATCCCCCATCTTCTTCCAGCTGCAATCCACACATGTAGCTCCATGTGCAGCCAGATGGAGAGATATAGACCTGCCCAACTGCCTTTATGCCCAGAGCCTGAATTGGTAGAGCACTTCCTATTTGCTTCTCCCACGAGTGCCTAAACTCAAGAGAGCTATCCTCCTGCTGGTGATAAATCAATCAAAACTTTCTATCTGTCCCAACTGCTCTCCCACCCAGGGATCATTCCACACACACCCAGTTCATCTGTGAAACGGAGCACTTCTTCTTGTCTGCTATGTGCCTAATTTCTGTTATTTCTTTCCTGTGCCTTTCACTTTTACTATGTTTCCAGTCTATACCCAAACTCTGATTATGCGCACTAGGTACACATGTCCTACCTCTGTTCTTCTTATCATGCCACAGGTGCTGCACACATTCCACCTTGTGTTGTTTCTTCATACTTTCCACACACCCTCTGAGACCCTCATTCTGAGAGGTCAAAGACGGTCTATATGTTGTCTCCCACTGGGAATAAAGGCACCTCAGCACCCCATGCTTCGACTTTCTCTGGGGCTGTCAGATCCACAGCCCATACCCTTTCCTCTCGCTCCAAGAGGACAGTGGCAGTTCCTACAGTCACTTCCCCACTGTCATATCCATCGACTTCCACTACCTCCAATCTCTCCGGACTACCTCCACTCCTTCTTCACTAACATCGGAGCTCCCATATTCCACAATCACCTCAGTATCCCTCGATGGTCACCACCCCCTCTTTTCAATTTATTACCTATGCCTCCCTAAGTACAGAGCCCCGAAGGCTTCCAGACAGCTCTGATGTCCGCTAGCACACTCCCACCTCTGCTGGGCAATACACTCGCTTGCCCTGCAAGCCCACCTTCGGGCCTATCCCTCCTTTCCATTTCTGGGTTATTGCCTACCATTCCACTGTCAGGGCCCGGCCTCGGACTCGGAGGCTCCCTGACCTCAACCCCCATCTGGCCTGTCCTCACACTATGCGGGGCATGAGATGTATAGTAAAAGGGAAGAGAATATATACACTTGCCTATGTGGGGCATGAGATGAAAAGAAGGGTAAAGGTCTCACCTCCCCGCATGGTTGCTATATAAAGGAATGGGTCACATGCCCACAACTATACAGCTCCTAGAGTTGTGTAGTGTGACCCGGAGGGAACATCCAGGTGGCAGTGCCCAGTAAGCATGGGAATGTTCTGGGCGAGTTGCTCACCCAGAACTGTGGCTGTGACCCATGGGAACATTCTGGGCAAGCTGCTTGCTCAGAAAGTTCCCATGCTATCCCGTGTGCGCAGATACACAACACAGAAAGGCAACAACAAGGCAACAATGAAGGAATGGAAAGAAGGGATTGGTTGGGGAGTCTGGGGCACCCTAGGGCAGGGTGCTGAACCCTGACATCCGCTAACCCCGTAACCCGACTTGTCGGTAATATTCAATCAGCTAATGTTTAACCCCATTAGCTCCGCTCCACTCGGCCCCGTCGTTTACAGGCCTGCCCCCGCTGTAACTATATATACTTGACGTGTAAATAGGTTACACCTCAGTAATAAAATCGACTAGAGTTTACCCCCTTTTAGTTCTGGTTGCCAGTTAGTAAGTTAGGGCACAGACATGTTACTTGGCACAGCGCTCCTGGCATAAGTCACTGAGGCCGAAGCCCTCCACCACGGAGACATTCCTTCGTCTCGATCTGGTCTCTGACATAACCCTGCCCCCCTGATCGCTGCACGCACCACGCACACTCCCACCTACTGAGCAGCCACCTCTGGGATCTCCCATGGAGACACCCAGGGAGGTGCAGCTGTGTGCAGAGATGACATGGCTTCCTCCACGTGACCCTAGCCACATGTATATAATAGCACCTGGGGTGGGAACAGAAGAAGCAGCCTTCTTCTCAACTTCCCACTTCAGACTGAGTGGTCCGGGACGCTCACCCTGCAATGGGATCGCTGCTACACATAGTTGGTATTCGTCCCACTGAGTCCCACATGCCGGGACCTCACCGCTTTCAGAGCTGTCCCTGACAGCAGAAGAAGGCTTTAACCTCATTCCCCCCGCCTCCCCTATCTCTCCTGCTATGGTGACTGAAGAGCAGTATGATGAGCTGCTGTCCCAATTTCAGGAGCTTCAGGCCATCATGGAGAGCCAAGCCCAGAACCAACCCCCAGCTGCGCCCACACTGGCACCGGCACTGGCACCAGCGCCTGCACCCCCCCCCCCCCAGACCCAAACCGCCTAAAGTTGCCCCCCCCACCCCCTTCTCTGGAGCAACCGAAGACCTGGACCACTTCAAGGCTGAATGTGGCATATACTTCCACATTCGAGCAGCGGAGTTCCCCAATGCCCTCTCCCAAATCCTCTTCATCCTGTCTTACATGAAGGGAGGAACTGCTGGGGCGTGGGCGATGCAGCGCACCATCACGCTACTAACAACGGGTTCCCCTGGTCTCACCATGGATGAGTTCAACACGGAACTTGATGCCATGTTCCAAGACCCAAACCGGGAAGCCATGGCAAGGCAGAAGCTAGCCACCTGTCAGGGACAGCTCTGAAAGCGGCAAGGTCCCGGTGCAAGGGACTCGATGGGACAGGTGTCGGCTATGCATAGCGGCAGTCCCATCGCAGGGTGAGCATCCCTGACCACTTAGTCTGAAGTGGGGTTGGGTTATCATTAAAAGGGGAGAAGCTACAGTACTTACCTGAAGTGGGAAGTTGAGAAGAAGGCTGCTTCTTCTGTTCCCACCCCAGGCACTATTATATACATGCGGTTGGGGTCACGTGGGGGGAGCCACGTCATCTCCACACACAGCTGCACTTCCCTGGGTATCTCCATGGGAGATCCCGGAGGTGTGCCGCTCTGTGAGCGGGAATGTGCGCAGCGGGTGCAGCGATCGGGGGAGCGGGGTTAGGTGTGTAGTGATACATAGAGAAGGGGAAGTTGACCATGGAACGGAAATAGAAAGAAAGAAGAAAAGGGAAAAGAAGAAACAGGGAGTGATAGCGGGGGGAGCGGAGTAGGGCAGCACGGCGTGGGGTCAGGTGGGGTGTGCCCTGACACCACCCTGTGGCAAGGCACCGACTCTGTGGACAAAGTCATCCAAGAGTTTGAGATCCTCGGCCCCGCCTCGCAGCTAGGAGACATAGGACTTGTAGACCGCTTCGAACGAGCGATCAACTCCCAGCTCTGAGAAAGCATCTATCGCCTCTGCCCCATGCTGACAACCTGGGCTGAGTGGAAGCGTGAGGCCACCCTCCTGGACAACCAGTGGCGACACTTCCAGGCGATGCAGCCCCGCTTGCCCCTAGCCAGGCCCCAACTCCCACCTGTGAGATCCTTACCCCCTACCACCTTCCTGCAAGCTCACCCAGCCCCCGCGCCACTGCACCCCCCACCCACCGCTGCACCACCGCCTCCTGCAGCCCGCCCTGTGGTGGGGGGAGGGCTACAACCCATGGACCTCAATCGCTTGAGGACTGACCAAAGATGAAACAGGCTTTGCTACAATTGCAATGCACCGGGGCACATCGTGCGAGACTGCCCGCAACCAAAAATCCGCCAAGCCAGATGGATGCACCCAGAGGACCTCAGGGCACTCATGGAAGGGCTGAGAAGGCAGCTAGTGGATGAGCTGGAGATGGATAGAGGGAAGGGCAGGAGGTAGAAGCCCAAGAGGATTTTCAGGAAGGCAACCGGTGAGGGATGCATCCCAGCTGCCTGCAGGCAATAGTACCAACTCGTGTAGATACTGTGAGGCACCTAAGTCGGTGCCGACATCTAAATTCCACCAAGTCATCACCAAGAAAAAGAGGAAAACCGCATCCTTGAACAGAGAGATACCAAGTGCAGCGCCGGAGGTAGCGGTCCCGCTGTCAGGGCTCGGTCCTTGATCAGGGACAGCCCGACCTCAGGCCTGGGTGTGTGCGGTGTTCCGGGTGGTTGGGCGCTAGACCCTGTCCTCAGCTCCTCAAACTCACTGAAGGGACTAAGCGGGGATTGAGTTGTCATGTATTACAGAGGGTAACTACAACTTGCCTAAGCGGGGATTGAGTTGAGAAGAAGGGTAAGTTTCCCTATTCCCCACTTGGCTACTATAAAAGGGAAGTGTACTGTACAGTTCGTAACGTGACTCCGGGTAGAAGCCGAGCATGTTCCCACGACTCGGAAAAGGTGTCACATGGGTTAAGGCGAGTTGCTCGCCTTGACCCACATGACTTTTCCCGTGGGCTTGCATGTGGGCTGAAGTTGTGAGAGATATGTAGGGATGGGGAGGTCTGGGAAGGTGGTTCTGGGGTGTGGTTGGGTGCCCTGACAGCGGGGTCAGGGGCCGATCCCTGACACCTGCCACCCACCATCTACGTGCTGTCAAAGCAACCCCCCAGATCCCTCAACCTAGCCGTAAAGTTGACCTCCCTCGCTACTGTCTCTGTATCAGCCCTCTTAGACTCAGGAGCCACCAGGAACTTCGTGAGCCCCGAGTTTGTCAGAAAGCATGGGCTCAAGACAACCCCACTCCCCCAACCCATCCCTGTCCGCAACGTCGATGGGACCCCAAATGAGAACGGGGCCATAACTGAGGAACTAGAGGCCCTCCTGACGTTCAGACGACACACGGAGCAGGCCCGCTTCACCATCGCAAACCTGGGGCGGCAGTCCCTCATCATAGGCCATTCATGGTTGCTGCACCACAACCCAGAGGTAGACTGGACACAGCAAAAGGTCAGTATGTCTCGCTGCCCATCCTCCTGTCAGTCGATGCAAGGACACACCGACCAGGACCCCGTAGTGGAACCAGGAGATGGGATTTATGCCGCTATCATCCCTCCGGGGTGGGGACATGAACTGAGAGTGACCACAATGCGGTCTCAGTGGATGGCCCAGGAAGCCTGCAAACCAGAAGCAGAGCCTGCACCGTTTGAGGCGCTAGTCCCAGAGCAGTACCAGGACTTCCGGGACGTATTCTCGAAAGAGGCCTTTGACCAGCTGCCCCCACGGAAGCCCTGGGACCATGCAATAGACCTGGTGCCAGATGCCAAACTCCCAAGAGGGAGGACTTTCCCCCTGCACGACCAGAGCAGAAGGAACTAGATGAGTTCCTGCATGAGAACCTGCAGAATGGGCGCATATGGGCATCCAAATCCCTGATGGGAGCCCCAGTCTTCTTTGTCAAGAAGAAGGATGGATCATTGTGCCTAGTCCAAGATTACTGGAAGCTCAATGAGATCACAGTCAACAACTCGTACCCCCTCCCACTCATTTCGGACGTCCTCACACGCCTCCGAAATGCCAAGTACTTCTTGGCACTAGATCTGCGCTGGGGATTTAACAACGTCTGCATCAAGGACAGCGACGAGTGGAAGGTGGCGTTTTCGACCAACTGTGGGCTATTCAAGCCCACCGTCATGTTCTTTGGCCTGTGTAACTCC